TTGGTTGCTGGAAGATTTTTGGGTATATTGGTTGCGGGAATTCTGTTGGTGGGGGTTTTGGTTGTGGAGATTTTGTTTTGTAGGTGTTTGGTAACTGGAAGATGATGTTTGGTAGGTGGTAGGTTGCCGGAAGACGCTGGATGGTAACTGGAAGACCCTGATTGGTAACAACACGTTGGCTGGGGTTGGCAACTGGAATATGCTGTTTGGTACCTGGTTGATGGTTGGAACACTGGATGGTAACTTCAAGGTGGTTTGTGGATGTGTAATGGTATGAAATATCGACACGACGATAGATAGAAAAATATGCAGTAAGACGGAACCTTGAATAGGAAGGCTTCGCCCATACAGTGGGCTTTATTAGCCCACAGATGAACTTGAAATGAGAGGAGAAGCTCATAAGGCACAATTAGTACTGATTATTATTATAATCGTGGGGGAGCGCTAAATCCGTAGGATTATACAGCGCCTGTAGGGGTGGGATCCAATTCCCTCGATCAACAGCCCCTCACCAGCGCCAAGGAACCTCTCTTGAGGGGTTTCTATTATACAAGACGGCCGATGTCTTAATTAGCTTCTGTTTCACACAAGTGTGGTAACTTTCTCCAGGTTAAATTTCATCAAAACAAATTTAAAACTTCAGCGATCGCACCCTCACGGGTTTAGCGCCGACTTTTTAATAATCACCAATCACAAACCAACATTTAAATTACTTGAATTATTTTGCACACGTCTCTCCTCTTTTAGAGAGAGAGACATTTGATTAATTAATCAAATTTAATTTTGAATTCCAAGGCTTCAGAGCCAGCAATGTGGAATTCAATCAAGTAAAGGAATTTCATATCAATGATTACAATCCTATAAAAATGCCATGGAAAGTATTAATGTATAATTACCAGTGAAATTAATCTGGCTAAACATTTGTGCTTAAAGGTACGAACCTTGATAATGGGGAAGGGCTCTTGATAGAGGCTATTGTTGCAATCACTCTTCCTCGTCTCAAACCCCATTACTTCCCTGGGTATACCTGGAGTTTACCTGGAGAGGGCTTCAGGTGTCAGTGCCCCCGCGGTTCTCTGAGACCAGGCCTCATGTTGGACCAGGGACTGATCAACCAGGCTCTTACAAGTCATGATTACAAATCATGTAAACTGAAGTGTAAACCGAAAAAAAATATGTATATAATGCTGTGTGACCACAGTGACAAGAACATGTATTCCAAGCGGCTTCGTGACCTCTAACAATATTAAGGGATACTAAGGTATTACTTTCAGTGTTTCTTGATAATGTTAGGGATACACAGGTATGTATAGAGCTCCGTGTATACAAAGGTATCTCAGTGTATATACTGAGATACTTCTTTAAGAGGAGAAACTATACTTGTGTTGATGACACTTGTGCAACACTTGGGTATCTTCATTGTGGAAATGTTTCGCCAACCAGTGGAGAAATGTAAACAGGATAATGATACCCAAGTGTTGGAGCCTCATCAACCTGTCGGTTTTCGGAACCAGTTGTCTATATTTTTGTGCTCGTATGCAGGCGAATTGCAGCCTTAATGACTCACATGTAGCCTTTGACGTGTCGTGATGCCAGTAAGGGGCTCTTGATCCAAGGAACTGGACTTATCCTCCCTGCCCTTTAATCGAACCTGAATGCTTTTTCCATTTTCCAAGCGCTATATATGACCCTTAAGAGTTTAGCGTTTCCCCTTCTGAAATCAATAATAAAATTACTTGCGATACATAAGCTATAAAGCTAACCTAATGAACGCAGATTTTTGGTATAATTTTAGGAATGTCTTGAGTAACGCACAAGAAGATGGCGAAATATTTGACAACGCATTTTTAGGGATAAACGCATTCCTCACATACTTTTTAAAGCATTCGAGGAATGCGTATTTTGAGAATAATGGTGTTCAACAACGCACACTACCGAGCGAATCATCCCGTTTCTAACATAATGAGCGAGTCATCCCGTTTCTTGAATAACTATGAAGAAGTTGTCCTTCCGTTACTAACGTAACTTCGAGCAAATCATCCCGTTTCTAACATTACCAGCAAGCTATCCAGTTTTTAACATAACTTCCAACAAACAATCCTTTTCTATTTACCAAGAAACAATCCCTTTTCTAACTACCTACAAACAATCCCTTTTCTAACAGCTACCAACAAACAATCCCTTTACTAACAACTAAAAACAAACAATCCCTTTTCTAACTACCAACAAACAATCCTTTTTCTAACAAGTGCCAACAATCCCGTTTCTAACAACTACCAACAAACAATCCTGTTTCTAACAGAAAACTCAACCAGACGTTTATGTCTGGTCTTCTAAAAGACTGGCGGCGCAAATCTATTTTTCGATGAACTAAATATTTTGATTAATTTATGTATTTTTAACAATATTTCTCGATTGTAACATTCCATATATTTTATACCAAAAAAATTGTGTATGGAGTCATTTTATTTGCAAGGATTAAATATACATTTTCTTTTGAGTAATACGTTTAAAGTAATTTTTCCCCAATTTTTAGTCATTAGGAATTACGTAGATTCACTTTTTTTTTGACTAATAAACTTAAAAATTAATTTTTAAATACTGTATATCTTTTTTTTAAAGAATAAAGAAATTGTCCCTCCTGTTACGTTCTAAGTTCTTACCAAAAATCTGCATTGCAAAAAAAATTATTGACCCCAAATTCCAACGATACAGAGCTTTGGTTTGTCTAAAACTGACGTGGTTGTACATATCTTGTTTGAGCAACCCATGACAGCCCATGATCAGCCAGGCTCTGATGACTATGTTGACGTACGAGTATTGGGCTACTAGCAATATCTTGGCTGATCAAAGCTTCACTGGGGAAGCCTGCCCTTTGACCGGGCTTAGAGAGCAGGAAAACACTGGATGCCAGTACCAAGCAAATTAACTTGTTTTCACCTATTTTCAGCTATGTAAAAAATATTTCAGCTCGTTCTGATTAATATCAGTGGATGTTGACCTCGCATGACCCGCATCTATCAGATTAATATAACCCTAGTCCACTGAACTCAGTTGAATTCAAACCATGTCATTCCATGTTGTTAAATTAGACTCGTGTGCAACGCTTGGCTATTTTTATTGTGGAATCGTTTCAGCACACATTGGCTTTATCAGTCCAATACAAACAATAATGAAGATCACAAGGAGATTGAGGTAATCAGTCCCTTGCCTGGAGTCGGTGTAATCAGTCATGGAACCTCAGCTGTGTGTGACCACAACCAGTTTAATAATAATAATAATAATAATAATAATAATAATAATAATAATAATCAAATAGTTACAATAATATTATGGTTATTATTCTGACACTCATTGTTGTTATTATAAATACAACAATAATATAATGTGCATCATTAATAACCACAATAATAATAATGTGCAATAATAATAACTGCAATAACACTGACATAATATTTACAATAAAATAAATAACAGTAATAATGATGATAATGATAATATTGATGGGAATAGCAGGGATGTCAGCTGATGTTTGTAAACACTGGTGGAGTAGTGATAACGTTGTCATAGCAACTCCTCCATCTCTGTGACGCTACCATGACGTCATGATCAGACGGTCTCTCCGTGTGGTCATACTCTGCGACCCATGCTGATTTAGCGCCTTTCCATAATAATCCTTAAGGTGAAGACTGCTGCGTTGCCAAATATCGAACACGACTAGGAACACAACTAGGAATCTTTGATTTTCCTTATATGTTGGTGATTCTCCTTATGTGCTGGTGATTCATCTTTGATTCCCCTTATGTGTTGGTAGTTTCCCTTGAATGATGGTTCCCCTTGTGTGTTGGTGATTCTTCCTACGTGTTGATTTCTCTTATGTGATGCCGGTTCCTCTTATGTGATGGAGGTTCCCTTATGTGTTGATTCCCTTTGTGTTGATTATTTCCCCTATGTGTTGGTAATTCCCTTAATATTTTGGTGATTTCCCTAATATGTTTGTGATTCCCTTAACATGTTAGTAATTCTCTGTCGTATTGTTGATTTCCCGTTTAAGGCAAAACATTTTCACATAAACGTTTCGCTCTTTTACATATTTTTGTTTGTTTACACTTGTCTTTTCAACTGTCCATTCGCTACATCTTTTCCTTGTTTTTTCCTTCCTCCCAAACTCACTCCCTCCTTCCCCTTCCCTCCCTGATATCATTCTCATGTAGCTTTCTCTTCCATCCTGCAGGGCTACTTCGGCTGCAGGAAATCTTCCAGTCCATTAGACCAGCGAGGGCGTCCTTCCAGATCCGTGTAGTGAGGCGGGTCGAGTCTGCCCAAGATGCTCTTGCCTTCTTGAAAAGTCTTGAGAAAAACAACAGGTGAGGGGGAGAGGAAGAATGCGAAGGAAAATTACTACTACTACTACTGCTAATAATAATAATAATAATAATAATAATAATAATAATAATTTTATATTATTTTATTACTGTTATTGTTAGTTTTTATTATTACTATTATTTTTATAATTATTAATATAAAAATATTTATTACTCGTGTCTGACTCGTTACGGGGAATGCAGTGGTGGAAGTGAATTTACTACACAGTTTCAAGAGTAGGTATGATAGGATCTAAAAGGCAAGTAACCAATAATGCAGGTCGAGTCAGGAGCTAAAGGTCGACCCTCCTTCCTTCAAAAAATTGACAGGTACATTTAAACATCAATTCATCTGACAAAAAAACTTTACAATGTCTCGAAATTAAGTGAAGCAAGAAGTCAGGGACTTTTTTCCGGTAATATAAGTGAAGACTTCAGTAAAATGGCATAGGCTTTCGTTTCGAAAGACTGAACATTTAAAAGAACGGGTTCGACCACAGTTGGAACATGCATTTGTGCAGAATTCAGGACACTTATTTATAGTCCGTTTCTCCTTTAATAAATGTCTTGAAAATGTCCATGAGCGTCCTTTACCAGAAATAGTCGTTATCACCGAACCATTTACAACTGTAGTAGAAAAAAATGTGTTCTGGTATTGATAAAAATGTTACGAAGAAAGATAACAGACGTCTCCAGGTATACTCCAGGTATACATCGAAATGCCTTCCTTGAAAATGAATGGGGGGAGGGAGAGAGGGAGGGAGGGAGGTAGGGAAGGAAGGAAGGAGGGCAGGAGGGGTTAGTTTCTCCCTTCACACACACAGGTAAATTGAACGTTTAATAAACTGAAGGTGTCAACGAAAAGATGAAGAAGCAATGACTAAACTAAAACAACAAAACGATGTACAAACTAACAATTAGAAAAATGAATTCTGTAAATTCCGGTACTTAACTGGAATGAAACCCCAAGGAAACAGTATCCGTACGCCTGGAATTTTTCAATACTTTCACAGTAAATTCGCGTCAGAAGAGCGACCACGAGCATAAACCTTTGTGACGATTCATTGTGGTTTGAATGATTTTCTGACATTTTAATGTTCGGCTAAAATATGTATATAGAACTTTGTAAAAAATAGTTGAGGATAACTTCTTGAAGTAAAATAATATGATCTGGCCTAATTTTTTCCATAAAATGCAATTGAAGTAGCAGTGGCTCAAGCTTCCACAAGTCCAAACAGTTTGTCTTTCACAAATAATAATATAATAATAATAATAATAATAATAATAATAATAATAATAATAATAATAATAATACTTAATAAAACTAACAATTATAATTCATTATAAATTAGTAATTGCAAAAAGTCATTCTCCAGTTTTTTCTTCATCTTCTTTCTTCAAGGGGAAATAAAATCATGCGTGTTTACCCTTGCGCCACGGGAAAAAAGAATGGTATTAGCCAGAATACACTCTTGGCTTTGAAAGCAATCAGCAGTGACTTAGACTCAGCTCTCTCGCGTTCAGAATTAGCTAGAATTGCTTTTTAAATCCACGTTGGGGGTCCGTTGTATACATGATGGGTGGAGTAGGGGGCTGTGTGTGTGTGTGTGTGTGTGTGTGTGTGTGTGTGTGTGTGTGTGTGTGTGTGTACGTGTGTGTGTACGTGTGTGTGTACGTGTGTGTGTACGTGTGTGTGTACGTGTGTGTGTACGTGTGTGTACGTGTGTGTGTACGTGTGTGTGTACGTGTGTGTGTACGTGTGTGTGTACGTGTGTGTGTACTCAGTGTCCTCCAGTGCCGTCAGTCCGATTTCCCTTAACCTTTCTTCAGAGGACATTCCCCTGTTCTCTGGAACTAGCCTTGTTGCAAACCTTTGAACTTTCTCTAATTTCTTGACGTGTTTGAGCAGGTATGGGTCTGACTTACACGGTATATAGAGTCTTGAACGATTCCTTACTGAGGTATCGGAACGATATTCTCAGGTTTGCCAAGCATGTGTGTGTTTTTTTTTGGGGGGGGAGGGGATAGTTGTAGAAGTGTACAGGAATAATGAATTTCACAGTGGCTGCCAATCGTTTGTTTTGTGTGATGGCTCTTCGTATTTGTTTACGTGTTTTTAAGGACAGTATGGCGTCACTGTGGTGCTGATGATGATAGTATAATGTACTGCTTGTGGTACTACAATTACTATGCTACATACAGTGCATTTATCACTATGTTGGTAGTCCTGAATGTACCAGTGTGCTATTTAGGTACTGTTGTCATTGTGCAGCTGTTCGTTGGAATCTGAGCTGCTGGTGTTAGTGATAACATTGAGATACTGTTCGCTCGAATCTGAGCTGCTGGTGTTAGTGATAACATTAAGTTACTGGTGGTGCAGATATCACTGTGCTGATAGTCGTGAAGGCACCAGTGTATTACAAAGGTGTTGATATCATTGAGCTACTGGTAGTGTTGGTGTTACTGTTCTACTGGTGGTGCTAGAATCAGTGCGCTACTGGTGTAGCTGGGGTATCGCCCCCAGCACATTTCATTGATCCCTCTCTTTGATCTTTATTAACAGAGATGAAAATTCGAGTTTATATAGAGCGAGGCGCTCATGTCAAAATAGGGGAGAGAAAGTGGTGTGTAATTTTTGTATTTCATCAAAAGCGTATGTATGTAGCCAGCGATAGAAAGGAATTGTAGGGAAGGAACAGAGAGAGAGAGAGAGAGAGAGAGAGAGAGAGAGAGAGAGAGAGAGAGAGAGAGAGAGAGAGTGAGAGAGAGAGAGAGAGAGAGAGAGAGAGATTAGTAAAAAGGGAAGTGGGAAGAAAAAACTGGAAAGGGGAAAAGTGGGCGTAAATTTCTGTCCGAAATTATTAATTGAATTGTGGATTGTTTTGGAATTAAATTTAGGCTGGTGGTGGTAACGTTTTGGAAGTGATGCTGTTGGGAGATGAACATAACGTTAGTCTTTTGTTGACCTGAAACCAGATGAATGTTTGTCGTTCTGTTGGTGGTGGGAGACTAGGGGAAAAAACGATTCTAGAGACGGGATCTATATATCGTTTTAAGAAGATGTACGATAATGCTCTTGTAACCGGGAGAGAGAGTGAATCTAGTAGCGACCAGCGAAGATGCATGGCCAGGAGCTGCGAATCGACGCCTGCAGACACACATGAGTACACACACACACACACACACACACACATACACACACACACACACACACACACACACACACACACACACACACACCACACACACACAACACACACACACACACACACACACACACACACGCACGCCCCTCACGCTCATTAGATTACCGCCATATTAAGGCTGGTCAAGCATAAACGAAATACAAAAAAAAATAAGGCCTCGGCGTGGCGCATTCCTTAGAGCATTAGAGAGAGAGAGAGAGAGAGAACGAAAGAGAGAAATCCAAGGTAATAATGTGTGTAGAAGAGAATTTTAAGATCAAGAGACCTGCCATAAATTTTTCCCATCACTACCTCAATATTCTGCGGTGCTTGACTCTCCCTTTTTATTTTGTAGTGGTATAATAACTTTCCAAAAAATCTGAAGTAAAATGGGCTCACAAATTGTTAAATTCCAAGGTTGATGGACTTGACGAAAAGATGTGAAACTCTCGGTTTCAATTTGCTTAGTTGTTTTGTCATTGTTTATCATATAAATGACCACGTGAATTTTAATAGCAGTAGATGAGGTAACATTGGCAGTGTTAATAAGGACAGTGTGATAGTGTTTAGGGAAGTTGGAAGTGAGGGAGAGAGCGAGATAAGGGATAGCCTAGAGAAAGGAAACAAGGAAGAGAGGGAGCTTGCTAGAAAGCAAGGGAGTGAACTAGGAAGAAATAGATAGGCGAAAAAGAGAGAGAAAGAGATATAGACAGACAGAGCAAGCACGCCTTGACAGTTCGTTTGTATAGAGAGAGACAGACAGACAGACAGCCAGCACGCAAACTGATAATTTTAATACCGAATTCACTGCATCAAACACCACAGTTTTCTTTTTTAAAACAACCGACTTCTAAATCCTCCATTTCCTCCAGTTTCTACCCCTTATTTAACCATCTCCACCAGTTAACTACCAGCATAACAAAAAAAAATTCCTCATTAGGAGTATTATCAGAGCAACAGTTGCCAGGCATTATCACGAAATTTCGTCTTGTTCCTAGTTGCTGATGGAATCTGAGCATTCTGCACACGATTGTGTCGTGAGCTGCAAGGAATACTGATGCAGCAGTAATGTTGCTGCAGCCTAAACTCTTCTTGTGCTTAAGTGGAGAATAATTTCCACATCAGGAGTAGACAGCATTTCACGGCAAAAGTGTGTCAAAACAAAAGCTTAGTAAAAATTGCGTTTTGGATGGGGAGTACTTTTTTTGTGACGTGGTGGGGGGCGTGTTATTAACGAGGGGAGGGGGAGCGTATCGAGGTGGGGGCGTGTTGATGATACGGGGAGGGGGACGTGATGGGGAGGAGATATGGCCTCATAGTGGATTCATGGGAGATATGGCGTCGTGGTAGCAGGGTAGATGGGAGATATGGCGTCGTAGTGGCAAGGTAGATGAGAGGTATGGCGTCGTAGTGGCAAGGTAGATGGAAGGTATGGCGTCGTAGTGGTATGGTAGATGGGAGATATAGCGTCGTGGTGGAAGAGCAGATGAGACGTATAACATCGTAGTGAGATATTAGAAGAAATCTACGATGTGGTCAGAAACGTATCTTACCTGGAGTGTTCCTGGAGACTGTTCCGGGGGTCAACGCCCTCGCGGACCGGACCATGACCATACCATGCGGCGAATCAGGGTCTGATCGACCAGACTGTTATTGCTGACCGCACGCAATTCAAAGTACGGACCACAGCCCTGCTGGTCAGGTACTGACGAAACTTGAGTGTGTAAACACTAATACAGCCATAGTCTTACTTCCGCCTCATACTGCTGTTATTTTTGCTGCTGCTGCTGCTGCTGCTGCTGTTCTTTCTGCTGCTCC